GGATTTCGAGAATTTGGGGTAGTAATGCCTCAAATTTAATTACAGTGTCTGACAGTTACTGTATTTGCGACCCTGGGCAAGTCATTGAACCACTGAGTCTGTTTTCTTGTCAGTCATTCAGTATTTATTAAGCACCTACTGTGTGCCAGGTACCATGCTGAACACTGGAGATACAAAGAAAGGCAAAGCTGGTCCCCGTTCTCTGCTACTGAGACTAGAAACAAATATGTACAAGCTATGTACAGGATAAACGGAAAATAATTAGCCAGTGGAAGGTACCACAAGGAAGAGGGGTTGGGAACGGCTTCCTGTAAAAGGACTGAAAGAATCCAGGGATTGCCACGAGGCTCAAATGGGATAAGGTATTAAGGTCAGTTATCCACCACTGGAAAGACTCTATTTGTGCACAGTTCATGAATGGTCATCCCAAGGCATGCTTCAGTCTGATTCCATTCACCTAAGGGTTGAATCCAACCTCTTTCCAATGGTCAGCATCAGTATCGATTTACTTTTCCCAGTTCTGTGTCTTTGCTTGTAATGTAGGACAGGTCTCAGGGACTCTTCCCAAGGCTACGGTCAGTGTTGGGTTGTGTAGAAGCTGTCTGTCACTTGTGCCTCCTTGTCCAATGATCTTTGGTGTTTGGAGGGGGTTCTATTACCCTTGAACAGTGGTCTCCGAAGTTTTTCAACCCATACCTTTATTAGTAAAAGGTGAGCACCTTCTCCCCTCCCCCAATCATGTGTGCGTGCTTACTTACAAATCACATAAACATTTATATATGTTGTAGACCTTATGCAAAATTAGAAAATTTAAAAGACTAAGATAAAAATGTATTTGGTTCTAAAATCAACAGATAACATGGTCAGATCTGTGCTTTAGAAAAATCAATTTAGCAATTGTGTGGAGCATAGATTGGAATCAGGAGAGCCTTGAAGCAGAGGCCACTTAGAAGGCTAGTGTGTGCACAGGCGATCAGGGCCTGAAGGCGGCTGTGAGAATAGAGAAAAGGAGGGCAGAGATGCTAGAAATGACAGGATCTGACAACTGGGTGGATACGTGGGGTGAGGGACAGAAAAGAGTTGAGGATGATGCTCACGTTGTAACTTGGTGACTAAAAGGATGGTGGTGTCCCTAACAGTAAAGGGAAACTTGGAAGAGGCACAGGTAGGATAACAGATGATGTAATGTGATCTAGGATGAAGATATCACTGTTCACTCTGTCCCAAACAGAATGGAGGCGGGCTGGGCTTTTACTAGCTGATCATCACCTGGAGCAGAAAGCAGCCCGCCTCTGACACCACACACATCTTCACTTCCTGCGATTGTTGATCACACACTTCTTGAGGTCAGGCCATGACCCCACTGGTTTTTTTCTTGAGAAAATTGTTTTTCAATGACCAGCTAGCTATTAGCAAAGTGAACCAGGAGTTGCTAGGACGGATGGGAGACCATGAGGTCAGCCTAGTCAGATGATTGTTGGAAGAATGGAAGTGGTTTCTGTAGAGGGCCTATCCCTTCACTCCTCCCCCTGCCCCACCCCCCCATATACCTACACTCACATCACTAAGACCTGAACTCTAGTCCTAGCTTTGTGATGTCTGGCAATAAGTACTTGAGCCTTATCTGCAAAATGGATTAGAAATATCACTTAGCTCATAGGGTGGTTGTGAGGATTGTGTTATTGAATAGTAAAGCATTTTACAAACCTTAATGCCTCACATTTACAACAGCACTTTGCTGTTGTATATGAAAAAGAATTTTGTTCAAAACAATCCAATTTTAAAGGTAAGAAATCATTAAGCTCAGACAAGTGACTTGTTCGTGTGACTCCTGTGTCAGAACCAAGATTTGGAACCCTGGTCTTCTCACTTCCAGGTTCAGGACTTGTGCCTCAGTTTCTCCATCTGTGATGAAGGGGTTGGACTAGATGACCATAGGATGAGAGATTCAGAGTATGAGAACCTAAGGTCCTTTCCAGAATTAAATGCTCTGTAGTGTAGGTGAGGGAACTGCTGCAACCCATTAAAGCTGGTACCCTCCCTGCAATTCTGCCTAGAGTCTGAAGAGGTCTTGACTTACTCTGCGTCACATAGCTGGGCATTCTTGGCTTTGCTCTGTGATGGTGCTTCTCCTCAGCCTCGATATCAGCGTTTGGCTTTGAGGCCCTTGGGGAAGCACTGCTCTTTCTCCATAGCTGATAACTTGAGCCCTCCAGGCTGAGATGAGCCTCCTCCCAGTCCAGAGCTTTCGTGAGCCCTCAGTGAGGCCAGAAGGGGGAGGGCGCAGACAGGACCCTCATTATTTCAGCAGCACAGAAACCATACAAGCCCCTTCTGCAAAACTGGCATCGACTCTACTTCTCCAGTACAAGCTTTTATATCTGGTCTTGGGTTCTCTGGTTTGCAGCAGAACCAGGGAGAATCCTGGGATCTCACCCTGGAGGACTCATGGGAATCATTCCTCCCAGGAAAGAATCTATTTTAGGATTGTAGAATGAAGTATGTTCCTCACAAAAGGAATTTGTCTCAGTAATCCATTGTCAATTTTCTTTTTTGGGGGTGGGGGGTGGGAGGAAGGGTCCCACAGGCAGGAAGCCCTTCCCCACCACTTCTGAGATCTCACAGAAAGAAAAACCAGTCTTCCCAGGCCTCACTCAAGTACACACATTTATTTAGACTCCCATTAACCACAGCCATGGCTGCCAAGATATTTAGTTAGGGACAGGAGTAGTGAGTCTATATATAGGGGAGGAATCATCCAGTCTTGGGGCCCAGATGTGCCATTAGATAAGGGGAACCCTGACAGGGCATGATCACCTGAGTAGACTAGGAGTGTGAGGGGGAGCCCTTGCAGCACCTGGGACAGGCCTTTGCCTTGAGCGAGAAGAACAAGGTGTGGCAGAGCCTGACTGACCAACAAGCCAAGGACGGATTCTGCCTTCAGAATGGGATGTGATTCCCAGGGAGGAAGCCTGAGGCCACTGAGTTGATCACGGGGTGCACAGCACAGAGGATGGGCCAAGGCTATGAGTAGTGGGGGAGGGGGAGAATCCTCATCTTAGCTGAAAAGCCACCCTTCTGAGAATCAAGTCCCTTCTCCACCCCCCATTCCCTCTCTACCATTTCTCAGCATGATATGTAGCTGCCTAAATACGTCCTGGAAGAGAGTCAGGATGAATGATGAAGGTTTCTCTACTCCAACTTTCCCATAAGAGTGAGCACTGAGTCTTTAGACTAGACATTCCATATCTTCAAGTTTGGTTGAGGTTGAAGAGGGTTTACACCACTTTTCTCAAGTAAAAGAATCAAGAATGGCTTCCACATGCTGAGTGAAGTGAGCAGAACCAAGAGGACTCTGTACACAATAACAGCCATGTTATATAATGACTAATATTGTTAAACTGAACCTTTCTCAGCATTACGAGGATTAAGACATCTCCAGAGGCCTCGGGATGGAAAATGCTGTCCACATCCAAAGAAAGAACTATGGAAGTCAAATCACTATCACTTATTTTTTACCTTCTGTTGAGTTTTGTTTCATCTTTCTGATGGTTCCTCCTATTGGTTTTAATTTTTACTTACACCTTCACTAATGTGAAAATATGTTTAATGGGTATGTAAATGTAAAGCCTATATCAGATTGTGCACCGTTTGGGGAAGGTGGGGGGGAGGAAGGGTGAGAAAAATTTTCAACTCAAAAGCACATGGAAGTGATTGTTAATAAATCAAATCAAATCAAATAAAAAGATATTAAAAAAAATAATGGCTTCCACAGAACAGAGGGGGAAAGAAGGGTTAATTATCCCTGCTTGCCCTGGCTCTAGGGTGGACCAGAGGCCTTCAGGTATCAGCAGTCTCTAAGCTTCAGGGACAGCCCCCAGAGCCTCCCAAGCTTCCCCCAGCAGGAGGAGCAAAGGCAAGGCTCACTTGTTTTCCTGGAACTCAAGAGCATTTACTTTCAAAGATGTGAAATGTCATCAGCATTACCACATTCCACCCCCTTCACCCCTTAGCAGACTATATTTACTAGGAGCTGTGGCCAAAGCCAATTAACCACCTGGTGAGTGGCTTTCTGGTCATGAGCCCCTCTCTATGCTGGTCCTCAGACTTGGCGGCACAGCTCATTACCTTTCTGGTGTGGTAGAACCTGTTGGAGTCATCAAGAACCCAGGGTCACCTCCATACTAGTAATGAGGCACTGGAATTCTCTTCTTCTGCCAACTCAAAAGACCATGATGGTTAAAAAGAAATATATTACAGGACCAAGATGCCCATGGGGTTGGGGAGCAACTCTACAGTGTCCTCTTCACCCCTACTATCCACCCCCTACCCTACTCCCAACCAAGGAAGAGCTGGCCCCTTGGAGGGAACTGGTTCATGGGTCATCTGGAGCTGGCAGACTGCCCAGTTCCTGTCATAAGAGACCAGGACAAGAATCCTGGAAATGGTCTAAGCAATCTCTGAGGATGGGACCTCATCCCTCCTCTTTACTTATCTGTGCCCACCCAGCTTCCACCCTGTCTATGCATTTCCAGCTCCCTCAGGCCCAAGGACTTCTACCACCAGGGCTGAGCTAATCCAAGGCACCACCTCAGCTTTGGCCAGTCCTTCTCTACCATCCTATGAGTAGGGGAAATGAGCCTATGGAGAAGATGTCCTGGAGCTCCTCGGGCCAGGTCTGATGGGGCATGGCAGAAGGAGAATGGCTCTGCAGCTGAGGTTCCTCCAGTCCCTTTACATCAGGCCACCCGAGATGCCAGTGGCCATGCGTCCCTACCCAGGAGCCTCTTGTTGGCTGGTTTTACAATCACAACACATAACACAAACACAGCAAACCCATGGGGCCTGGGAAGGCTTTCTGTACAAGGCAGACGGTTGCACAAGGCCTATTCTCAGCCCTGTGATGTTGTGTTTCCTAAAACTAAACCCAAGCCTGAAAAGACCAAAACAAAATGTGGATACCTAACAATACACACATACACCACAAGCCCACTTAACTGGGGGGGGGCAGAGGGAAGCATGTTTTGCTTTGTTGGGGACAGACTGGGAAGAGGATGGCTTCTTCCCCACATAATGCTCACACAAAATCCCTCCCAAGAAAACCCTCTTAGCTGTGGGCCCTGAGGAACTCAGGGGCGCCTGCTGATATGGAGGGTGTAGAAGGCCCATGGTTCTGGAATGTAGATGACCCCGGGGTATTTCTTCCTGAGGGTGTGATCATTCCACAGCCACAGCACCCACAGGGCCACAAACAGGAGTGTGAAGAAGAAGGTGTAGAAGAGGAAGAGTCCGTTGCTGTCTAGGTAGAGGCGCTTCCGTTTCTGATGCATCACAAACGCCATCATGGCAAAATAGGTGAAGATGAAGAGGATGAAGATCTGCCCTTCAGTGACCAGGTACCTTAGGTTTCCCAGGAAGACAGACAGGAAGTCAGAAGGCTATTCCCTTTGTACCCGCGCCCCCCCCCCCGCCAGGATCATGGCTCTAGAGTCAGGGCAACCTCAGAAGCATCTAGTCCCCCACATTTTCCGAAAAGCAAACTCAGGCCAGGGAGCTAAGACTTGCCTACAGGCCCTTGGAGATTGGAACTCAGGAGGTGATGCTCTAAAGCAGTAGTGTCAAACTCAAAGAGAAAAGAATCCTGCAGCCACTTAGGAAACCACAAACTAACATTATCTATGCTGCACTGTATTTGTATTTAGTTTGTTAAACATTTCAATCTGATTCACAAGCATTTGGGGATGGGGATGGCACAGGGCCTTGAGTTTGACCCCTCTGCTCTAGAACACTTCAGAGCTCACTCAACCTTCTCCCTTCCTCAAGAACCTAGGTTGTAGGGGCAGCTAAGTGGTACAGTGGATAGAGCACTGGCCCTGAAGTCTGAAGGATTTGAGTTCAAATCCAGCCTCAGACCAAACACTGACTTGCTAGCTGTGTGACTGTGGGCAAGTCACTTAACCCCAACTGCCTAAAAAAAAAAGAATAGAAAAGAAAAGAAAAGAACTTAGGGTATCTCTCAACTGGCATCAAGACAACATGAGGTCCTGGCTCTGCTACTCACTAGCTGTGTGATGCTAGGCAAGTTACTTTACCTGTTCGGGCCCCAACCTGCCCCACCTTCTTTACAGAGTTGTGGTGTCAAAAAGAATCTTGTGTACGTGTCAGACTTTGTAAACTGTAAAGGACCGGACTACAGAGTGGAGGTAGCCCCACTGCACCAAGTCTGCTCTCTTCTGCCTGGCTTCCAGAGGCCTCCACCCTCTCTCCAATCCCATCTGCCTCTTTCCTAATTTCTGTCCAATTTCTGCTCTAGCCAAGCCGTCCTTCTCCCCTCCCCAGCTAGGCTCTTGGAGAACCCCACTCATTCCCACCACAATTCCTTGGCTGTGTCCCTGAGCAGAGGGTTTTCTCCTCCTCCTTCTCTGTTTATCTAAATTCTAATTAGAGGCTCACAGATTTAGAGCTAAAGGGATTTTAGAGATTGAAGACAATCCCACATTTTACAGATACAGGGAAATGTGCTTAGGGCAGTTAAGTGACCAATCCAAGGTCACACAGGCAGCAAATTGGGCACCTAGGTGATGCAGTAGAGTACCAGCCCTGGAGTCCTGAGGACCTGAGTTCAAATCCAGCCTCAGACACATAACACTTACTAGCTGTATGACCCTGGGCAAGTTACTTAACCCCCACTGCCCAACCAAAAAAAAAAAAATTGGGCAGACTCTAGAGTTCTGTGACCCTAAATCCTCACTGAGGGATGAAGGCCCAGCTCAAGCCCCAGCTGTTGTAGGAAGGCTCCTCAGACCACGCCAGCTCCTGGAAGCCCCCACCCTCACACCACCAAAGTACATGAGATGCCACTGACCATGGCTTCTCCCCTGGGCACCAGTTTCCACCACCACAAGCCCTGAACGTGTTACACTTATGGCCAGTGCTGCATTAAGCTTTATTGCTTAACTGTTCCATTTATGTTATTTTCATAAGTGATTAAGCTGCCTGAAGGCAGGGACCAGTCCCTGTGTTTCCTCAATAACCCCCCAAGACCCCAGCACAGAGCTAGACACATGATAACTTCACTGACTCGGGGTACTGAGAGGTCATTTGGTCCATGCCTTTGGACAGGTGTGCACGTTAGCCAGCCCCCTCTGAACCAACTCTGCCCACGTTCCCAAGTCTCTTCCCTGCATGTCCCCACTCATCACCAGCAGACCAGCTGCCCTACTCACCAATAGTACAAGCTGCTGGGCCCCAGTAAGAGCAGAGCTGACCGAGGCATCCTGCTCTCCTTCTTTGCAGTGGTGAAGCAGCCGCTGAAGTACATGAAAAGGATGAGGAAGAAGGGTATGTACCTGGAAGAGACACAGAGCCTTAGAGCCTTCCCCACACTGGGCCAGATCTGTTCCCCCCTGGGCCTCTACTCCTCAACCCCAGCCCCTGCATATGCTCAAGCATGAAGAAGGCCCAGGAATACAGTGGGAGGTGGGAGGGGGGGTGTCAGGCTCTGAATGTCTTTGGCTTCTTCCAGTATGGAGAGCTAAGAAAGGTTTCCCTTTCCCTTTAACAGAAAATCAAGCCACTTCCTTTCTCTTGGGCCTAACACATAGGGTAGGATTCTAAGTTCCCCTCCCCTTCAGGAAACTGCCCTAGAAATGAGATACCTGGATCAGGCAAAGCATAAGACAAAGTCTCTTACGATATCCTTGTGGATAAGATGGGCAGACATATTAGTTAAATGGAATCAAAGCTGGCTGAATGACTGGGCTCAAAGATTGCTGACCAAAAGTCTCTAATAGTGAGGAACACAGCTCTGTCCTTGGCCCTGGTCTGTTCACTATTTTTATCAGTGACTTGGATGAAAATGTGACCGGCTTTTTTATCCAGATTTCCAGATAACAAAGGCCTGGGAGGGAGAGCTAATATAATGGATGGCAGAATCAGTATCCAAAAAGATCCTGTCACTAGGACAGTGGGCCCTGTGCACAGACAGCTGTGGGTACTTGGGTCTCAGCAGGTCTGAACCTCTGGAGATTTTCCAGTCTGAGGGCAGCCACACAGGAGGCCAGAAGTGGAAGGGAAAACAATGAGGAAATGTTGAAGGGAATGTGATCATAACTGGCTGTGATACACGGCCATTTTGGAGACCACTACTTAAATGACCTGGCCTTATAAGAAAGGGTCCAGACAAGTTTGGGGAAGCCCTATACAGCTCAGAAAAGGTAGCACAATACCTCATCTTTGAATAGTGCCTCATATATTTCTCTTTCAAACCAAGCATAAATATATACATACATCAAACACAAACGCACACATTCTGTCCCTCTCTTCCTTTCCCCCTTTCTCCTCTCCCCTACTCCCTGCCCCCCTCCCCCCAACAATGATCCCTGGCCCTATGTTGGCAAGGAAAATTGACTGGAAAGACAGGGGCCCACAGTGGGAAGAAGAAAGGGGATCTGGGCCATGCAGGGCCGTGACCAGGGCAAAAACAAACTGAAAGGAGGAGCAAGATCTGTGGGCAGCCTCCAACTGATGCTGTGCCTGTTCACATGTAGTCTCTTCTCTAATACCCTCCCCGTTCCCTGCTTTTCCCTTCCCCCATTTTCACTTTCTCCTTCTCTCTCTTACACACACACACACACACACACACACACACACACACTCTCTCTCTCTCTCTCTCTCTCTCTCTCTCAATCTGGCTTATATAAAACCTAAGTGCAACCTGTCATTCATTATGTCCCCCTTGCTGCTAGTGTTCCAGGATGGAGAAAGCAGATCTTTCCTGCTTCCAGGGTCCTAGTATCTCCCTGCTTTCCGTTCCAATATACTGATGTGATAAAAAAACAAAACAGTAACTTGGTGCAATCATTTTTCAATGTATACATGTGTATGGGTGTTTTTATCTATGTATCTATATCTATCTATTCCTTTTGAAGCCATTTACGTCAGGGGTGTAGCCTATATTTGGACCAGTACGGAAATCTGTGATCTACAATCTCTCCTTTTTAGCACACCCACACAACCTCTCCCTCACACACCCACAATCACACATGTTCTAGTTTCATCTCCCTGTTTCATGCAGTGTGTCACACTTCCTTTCGATCTCCTCCTCTCACATGGTTGGCCTCTGGCTCTGTCTCCCCCGACTTTTCTCTTCCCTCCCTCCCCCTCTCATGCTGTCTCTTTCTGTATCCTTCCAGAACACACTGCTGAAAGCCCCAGCAAGGCAGGGGAGAGGGGAGGATGCCTACTCAACGTCCTGCTGCGGCTCTGGAGTTAAAGGCATTTACACAAAATGTCCCCAAAACAGGCCTCCAGAAACACATGGTGGTATGTGCAGAGAATCTGTAAACCCATAGGCATCAGGGAATACAAAGATGTGACCCCTAGCTGGGAGCAACAAAAATCCCAACACCTTCCTGTGCTCCCTAGTTCCTGTAACAAATGCACAGCACTCAAAACAGCTGTGCACTTGTACAATTGAACCAATGATGACTTCTGTTTGTGCTCTGCATCCCCTACTAGCTCAGAAGTACCACAAGACTTATTTATCTTAGCTTCCCCAGTTGAAAGAATACTGGAGGGGAGCTGGGCACCTCAGAAGTCCAGTTCTGGCTCTGGCACCACTCACCAGTGACCCACTGAGCAATGGCATCCTGTGACTGTGCTTCTGGGGTGGGGTGGGACTCAGAGGGAGGTCTGCTGGCCACTCAATTTAAAGAGACATTTATTAAGCGCCCACTAGAGGTAGCACAGCACATGCATCAAGTCCACAAGAGATGGTGCCTGATCTCAATGGTGCTTACAAGCCAGGAGGGAGATGTACTGAGCACAGACAAGTAACTGTACTACAAGAGAGAGCTAGCCAGTGCCAAGCCAAGGGGAATCAGAAGGCATCATGGAGGAGGTAGAAAAGGTATTAGTCTTCAGAGCAGGGGTTCTTAACCTTTCTTGTGGCACAGATCCCTCTAGCAGTCTAGTGAAGCCTAAAATGCCTTTTCAGAATGTTTTTAAATGCAGAAAATAAAATACATAGGATAACAAAGGAAACCAATTATATAGAAATACACTTTACCAAAATATTTTAAAAAACAAAATCACAGACACCACATTAAGAACTCTTTTAAATGAAAAGTAGGCTTCAACAGATAGAGGCTGGGTGGAGGGCATCACAGGCATACATGACAGTATGTGCAAAGGCATACAAGACCTTTATGAGGGATGGCGAGAGTAACCCAGTTGGGTTGAACAAAAGTGAGAGATAATGCAAAAAGTGAGGGGATACGAGATTGTGGAGAGCCTTAAATGCCAGATTACCCTGGATTATATTCAGTAGGCAATGAGGTTTGAGCAGATGAGCGAGATGACCAGCAGCATGTCAGGCTAATCTGCCAGCCACTTGAAGGACGGATTTGGGTGAGGGGTCTGTACATCCCTGAAACAGTTCAAGTTGGGCATAATGAAGAATGCACTGCAGTGGTGGTGTTAGGGAGAGAAAGGGGTTTTTGAGAAGTAAGGTTAACACAACTTAGCCATTGATTTGAGGGATCTGAAGGACAGCTTACAGATAATACTGAGGTTTGGAACACTGGAGCTTGGGTTCAATCAACCAAAATAGAGAAGTCAGAAAGGTTTAGGTCTTGATATGGGAAAATATCAGATTCTGTTTTAGAGCTGTTGGGTTTGAGGTACCAATTGGAGATTCAAGTGCAGAAGCAAGAAATTCATGTATGGGAACTCCAAAGAGAGAGCAAGGTTAAGGGAGGTATCCATATATAGTTGGCAACTGAAGTTGTGAAAGTGGATGAGACTGCCAAGAACAGAATACAGAGAAGGAAGAAAGAGGGCTGAGAACCATGGAACGCCTATATTAGAGGGCCAGGAAAAGTGGGCATAAGGAGACCTAAAGAGGTAGGAGGAGAAACAAGTGAGTCTGAGGAGTCAGGAAAGCAAAGGAAAGAGAGTATTGAGAGTGATGGGTAATAAAGAGCTAAAACACCATAGTCAGGTCAAAGAAGGTGAGAGCTGAGAAAAGCCATTGGATCCAGTGATAAAGAGGACACTATTGACTGCAGTCAGAAGTTTCTGGAGACTAGTAGCAAAAGAAGTCTGAATGCAAGGCACAGAAAAATGAAATGGCAGTGAAGAAGTCTCTGCATCAGATGGAAACTAGTCCTTCAAAAACTTTAGGGGTAAAAGGGAAGAGAAAGAGGGGCAGCTAGGTGGCACAGTGGATAGAGCACCGGCCCTGGAGTCCTGAGGACCTGAGTTCAAATCCAGCCTCAGACACATAACACTCACTAGCTGTGTGACCCTGGGTAAGTCACTTAACCCCAATTGCCTCACAAGAGAGAAAGAAAATGATAATTTGAAAGGATAGAAGGGTTCGGGGAAATTTTTTTTTAAGGATTAGGAATAAGACCTAAGTATATTTGTACAAAGATGTGAAGGATCCGCTGAAAATGGAAAGACTGAATATGTTTGCAAGAGAATGACTAACAGAGCAAAGAGGGATGAGGATCAAGAACACAGATGGAGAGGTAGAGCAGTGATGCCTCTTTGTGGCTGAAGTCTGTGGTATGGAGGAGCTGATGCTTATAATGGATAACAACAATCTTATCAGCAGTAGAAAACCAAATTACCTGTGGTGGGTGTAGAAAGATGTAGAAGGTTGAGGAGTGTGGTGCTTTTGGGGGATGACATAGGAAATCAAGGACAGCTGAGTAAAAGGACTGCTAAGCCAGCAGGGGAGGAAGATCCAGTGGGTGTTATATAGCATAGACTAATGGTGTCAAACTTAAATAGAAATGGATCCCTGTAGGTCACACACTGACTTAGAAAACCATAAATTCGCATTACCTGTCTCATATTGCTTTTTAATTTATTTTGTTAATCATTTCCCAATTACATTTTAATCTGTTCAGGCCACAGGTGGGAGAGTTGCCCTCTTGTGGCCCTCTGAGTCTGAAACCTCTGTCATAGATAATCAGCTCTAAACAGCAGAAAGGAGCCTTCTGCCCCACCTCGGCCTTCACTACTTAGCTGTGGGCCCCAGCCTTCCTGGCTGCTGAATCTGGTTCTGTGTATTCTCACTACACAGCACGGCCCAGGCTAGACTCACCCACCACACACATAAAGTTATAGTCAAATAACCCTTATTCACCATCACCGTCCCTAGTCCAACAGGGCAGGAGATTTTCTGTGGAATGTTATCAAAGAACACTCAAATGTTCTGTGAAATGTTATGAAAGAACAAATCTTAAAGCTGATGGTGGGAGGGAGACAGCAGCGCTTTAGTGAGGCACATGAAATCCCCTCCCCCCCAACATACACGGAGAGGCAGTCACCAGCCCCAATCCTGGGACAGCCAAGAAAGCCTCTTGCTGCCCTCTAGTGACCACCCATAGGTACTGAGGGAGCAGCATCGAGAATACCTTTTCAGAAGTGAAGGACCTTTCTGAGGGATGGGGACATTTCTGGGGGTTCTGTGCTACCTACATACTGTGAACCCCATCTTCTCCCCCAAACCACAAAGCTATAATCACTCACCACAAGCAGTGCCCTAAATATTCATCATAGTAGTAGAGTAGCTCGAAGGAATCAATCTGCAAGGGAAAGGAAATAAATCCTGTTTAACACAGTCAGGCCCCCTAAAGGCTCATTCTTTGGCAAAATGGGGAAGCTGAGCATGATGGGTTTCTGGAGTACCTCTGTGCCTTTTAGTGTCCATCTCTTCCTCCTACTCCAAAAGACCCAACAGCCTTATACCATGCATGACTATGAATCTTTTCTTCCTTCCAGCTTCCCTCTGGGGAACCTTACCTTTCTGAACTTTCCATCTTCTCAGGGCCCACTCTCCTCTAATCTGATAAGCCCATTTGTGGTCAAGTGTGATAATTTGGAGATGATGGCTTCTTTTCCTAAAACATAATTCTAAAGGATTTATGGAGACTGAATGTCAATTTGGCTACAGAATGTTTTGGGGCTCAAAATGCATGCACATATCTCTCTCTTATGTTGTGCTGTTGGAGTTTCTTGTTTTTTAAGATTGGTGCTCTTTACCTTGCCCAGGCTGAAGGTATAGTGGTCACTCATGGGCCCAATCCTCATAACGATTGGTACAAAAGTTTAACCTGCTCCATTTTTCTGACATAGGCTGGTTCTATCCTCCTTAGGCGGCCTGGTGGCCCTCCACTACCAGGGATCACTATATTGGCATTAGACTTAGTGAGGGCATCCCATCAGCTTGAGCTCTATGGCAGTCTGGAACCCCTAAGCTCAAGTGATCCACCAGCCTCAGCACCCCCAGAAGCAGGGACTAAAAGGCCTGTGCCACCCCCTCTAGCTGCTTGAAACATAGCACAAACGGTTGTCTGGAAGGCGGTCTAGGGGTATGGTGTACCATTTAGGACAAAGGACCATCAGGGTGACTTTGGAGCAAAGTAAAGGAAATAAAGCATACTTCCATCCACATGTTGTGTGTGAAAGTACTTCTGATGAGGAAATACTGAATAGTACATGAGGTAATTTCTTGCAATGGGGAAAGCCTTGACCTGGGCAGAGGGCAGCCCTCCTTACCAGGGTCTTTGGCTTCAGGTTCTTGATGATAGGGTTCTCTCGGACAGAGAGGTGGTGCTGATAGCCACTGAAGATCAGACGGTGGTTCACAGAGTCTCCCACCAGGTGAATGCTGGAGCCCATGATGAAGGTGATGATGCTGACATACACAATGGATCGAGGCAGGGTCTTGGGGGACCTTTCAATGAGCTGCAATTTAGAACCAGGCACTCAGCACACCCTGACCCAAAACACCCTCCAAGAGCCGGCTCTGGCCTCTGACGGATGGCCTTGATCTTCTTACTCCCCTCTCACTCAAAGCTCAAAAACCTCCCATCTTTCCAAAGTAACATTTCTTTTGTTTTTTGGCTATGAACAACGTGGGAATTTTTCTTTTTGCTTTACTATGCATAACATACATGGGTTTGGTTTTTGTTTCTTTTTCAAAGGGAGGAAAGTAGGAGGGAGAAAAATGGATTCTTTTTTAAAGTTGAACAACAAAAAATACCCAAAACTCTAAAATCCCAAAGTATACGTCCCTAGCACATGCCATGCTCATCTCTACCTCTAAACCATGTTTCATGGGGTTACCCTACCACCCAAATGGCCTCTGCCTGTCCAAACCCTTCACATTCTTCAGGACAGAGCTTGAGTCCCTTTCCATGAAGCCTTTCCTGAAGGCTTCAACTTACCCTTAACTCTCCCTTCTTAGGTCCCCCTTTGGAAAGGACTTCTGAAATCGAGCCCTTTTTTACCTGACTGCAAATTTGTTACAAGACAAGGTTTTGTTTTTCTTTCTTTTCCTTATCAATGTGAGGAGATAAAGTGGGAGGATAAGAAAAAAATGCTTGTTAATGGAGAAAAAAACCTAATTTTAAAAAAACAAACAAGAAAATAAATCAACAACCCCACCCCTTGTTTCACAGATGTGGAAACTGAGGCAAGAAGTGAAAGGATTTGCTCAAAGTCATACAGGCAGTAAACAGCACAGCTAGAATTTGATTCCTGCTCCTCCAGTCCCAAATCTCCCATTCTTTCCACTTAACCAGAATAACTGCCTACCTCCATCACATTCAGTTTTACGACTGATTCTGTATTGTCTTGTGTGGTTCACTAATAATTCTTCAAGTAAACAGATATGTGTATTTGTATCTTGTTTTCCCTTCTAGTTTCTGGAAAGCAAGGACTATATATTACTTTTGACAACAGGTTCAAAGACAGATATGAAAGGCAATTTAACTAAATTTCAGGCTGAGATGGCATTAAGAGTAAGGAGGAAGTGGGTGCTCTCTCTCTCTCTCTCTTCATCTCCTCTAACCCCATGTTCCAGGATGGGTTGTACTCTTAATAAGGCACGTGACCCAGAAGCGCGCACGCGCAGTGTGTGTGTGTGTGTGTGTGTGTGTGTGTGTGTGTACATCCGTACCCACTGAGTACCTTGAATGAGCCTGTGAATAGAGTATGGGTTCATAACAGGGTCTTGGTACAGACCCTTTCCTCTGCTGAACCCTTTCTAGGACAAGTGAGGGAAGTGAAGGTCAAATCTTCTGCCCTGGGGCCCGATTTCCTGGGGAAGTTGTCTAGACCAACTCTCTCTCAGTGATTAAGCAGTGGGGCTCCTAGACCACACGCCAAACCCTTTTTCCTCCCCCAAACCTATGCTTCTAAATGTCAATCTGCAGCATTACAGCCCTTCCCTCACCTTCTGCCTACTCTGTGTGAGAAACTGTGCTAAGTGGTGGGCACACAAAGAGAGGGGAAAAACATCCCTCAAAACCAAGCCAACCGACTCCCCCTCCCCCCCAGTCCCTGATCTCAAGGAGTTCTCAGCCTGAGGGAAAGCCAACCACCAAATGTGACAGAGACCACACAGCACAAGCAAGCACTCTGAGATGACTGCACTGAGAAGCTTCCCCAGCAGTGAGCAGGGAGGGAGCCATTCCCTTGGCTGTCTGCGGGTGGGGCGGCTGCCACTTTGCATCTCATGTTTATATTTCCTCCCAAGCATGTGCACAGGGAAGGCAGGGGCTGTTTGGTCACTCTGTCCCTGGGGCCTAGAACCTGACTCAACCTGGATCATCTGCTGAGGTGACAGCCTCCCTGGTACACCTCATGACTAAGAGACCCAGCCTGCACTTAGGTCAGTGTCTAACCTGCTACATCAGCCTCCTCTATTGGTCCTCCCCAGGGACATCTGTCGCCAGGAGAGTCCGTCTGAAACTTGGGCCACTGAAGCTGGCCCTCCCCTCTACTCACTGGGAGTAGATCCCAAGTATTACTTGTTTGCCATGGAGATAAGAATTCAAACCAGGGTTCTGAGTTCTATGTTAACTAGAACAGAAATAGGAGCAACTTCAGAAGTATAGGATACAGCAGGCATGGAAAAAGATCTGTGAAAAAGATTTGGAGGTTTTAGTGGACCACAAGCTCACTAGAGTGTAAACACCTTGAGGGCAGGAATTGTCTTGTATCTTTTTGTATCCCCAGTGCTTAGAACACTGCCTGGCACACAGCAGGCACTTAATAAAAAGTGTGACATGGTGGCAAAAAAAATTAATGCCATTTATCTTCTCCTCTGCTAAAAGGGTATAGTATTCAGAACAATGTTCTCCCAACCCCTCTTAATTCTAGTGTCTTCCCTCTCCTAATTATTTCCTATGTATCCTGTATATGACTTGCTTGTACATATCTGTTTGCTTGCTCTCTCCCCCTTAATGAGGGGTTTGTGAGCTCCTTGAGGGCAGGGTCACTGTCTTCTGAGTTTTTGCCTAGCACACAGTAAGTTCTTAACAAAGGTTTACTGTCTGACACAGTATTGTGTGTGGTCCTAGATGCCACATTTTGGGAAGGGGACTGATAACCTAGAATGTGTCCAAAGGAGGTTGCAGAGGATAGTAAGGGCACCTGAGACCATGCCACATGAGGACTGATTTAGAAACCGGAGGTGTTTCATCTGGAAAAAGGACTTGTCTGAGGGCGGCTTGGAGGATGTGAGGAGCAGTGCAGGGAATGGAATGACAGGACAAAATGAGATCCAAAGGGCTGCTGGGTGTAGGCAAGATTGGCTTGCTCTGCTCAGCCCCCGAGACAGAACTAGAAGCAATATGTGGAAGTTCCAGAGAAGCTAGATGCAGGTTTGATGTAAAGAAAATTGTCCCAACAATGAAAACTGTCCTAGGATGGAATGGGTAGCCTGCCTTCCCCAAAGGTCTGTAACTGAAGACTAGACCACCATTTGCCAGGAAAGTGGCAGGGGGATTCATAGTCAGTAAGGGTTGGACTAAATGGTCCAAGGTCCCTCCAAGTGTGAGATTCTGGGAGTCCAGGAGTATCGGATCTAAAGCCGAAAAGGACCTTAGGAATCATCTAGTCTAGCCCCTCAGTTTACAGGAAAATGAGGATTGGAGAGGCTATATGACTTGCCTGGGTGGTAAGGAGCAGGACTGGGATTCAAATCAGGTCCTCTCAGTCCAAATCGAGGCTCCAGGGGCCCTTCTTTGGGAAAATCTTTTTAAATCTCTCTTGTCCGATCCATCCAGACCTGTTTGCTCCTTTACATCTCCCTCAGCACTTCTGCTCTCTGCACCAAAAGTCAAGCAATATATGCAAACAAAAGAGTTAGCTTGGTCTTTGGAGCTGTGTGTAAAACTCTGGACTTCCTGGTATAGTATGCAAAATAATAAATAAGACTGTGTTAAAGAACAAGCTTACTGTTTTTATGTTCCTCCCTATGTGTTTTCTCCCTCCACCTAACAGGAATAATCTCATTGTCTCTGCATAACATTTTTAGCTTTTCAAAGTGCTTTCACACCCACCGTGTGTGAAACATTCCTGTGAACTACACAGGGCATCATCTCCATTTGGAAGGTGAACAATATGAGGATCAGAACGGTGAAGTGACCTCCCTAATATTACATAGCGTCAGCGGCAGAACCAAAAACCAAAACCCAGCAGAGCCCTCCACACCCAGAACTCTGCCTACAATACCAGGGAACCTTCCAGGCAGCGGGCATTAGACAGTTCCATCATTCCTTCCAAGCTTCCATATTGGTACTGTGCCCACAGAGAGGGCTCAGCAGTTGAGGGAGGAGCCTGGGAGCTGTTCCAAGGGGGAGACTAACTTTGTGTCTCTAGGTTTTACCTTGAGTAAGAGAAATGGTGTGATGACATTGTAAGCCATATGAAAGTAGTCTCCCACGCTGGGGCTTGTTCAGTGGAAACCACTCTAGAGGGAAAATTATCTGCAGGGAAGAAAAGAGTCCATAAGACTTCTGAGTTTTCTCTGTTAAGTCAAGCAACAGGATGCACAAAGCTTGTCAAAGATCTCATTAATGCTTCTCTGCTCCAGGCCAAACTGCCCCACCCCCCCACCCAATGAGCAGGAAACAAATAAGATTACTTAAGTTATTACTGAATCCCATTTTGGTGCCACATTAGAGTTTATAAAGTACAACAATAGCCCCATGAAGGAGGTAGGACGAATCCTTGTTTTATGGATGAGGAAATTGAGGCTTAGAAAGTTTGTGCCTTGCTCAGAGTTCATAAATGTCAGTGCTGGAGCTCCGAGTCGGTTCCTTTAACCCAACTTGCTCTGTTGTACATCATGCCACTGTTTGTAGGATGGTCTTCTCCTTTCAATAAGCAATGGTGGAGAAGGACACTATGGGCCTAAGGAAGGGCAAGAGTAAACAGAGCTGCTATTGACTTTCCGAAGTGCTCACACGTATACCTTGTGAGTAAAAGTCTCATATACACTCCAATATGTATAGTAGCAAAGAAGTGGAAACAATGGAGATGCCAATCTGCTGGGGAATGGTTAAGCAAACGGTGGTACATGAAGGTCATGGTATGCTAGAGTGCTGTAAGAAACTGTGAATATGATGGATACGATGAAGGATGGGACAAGGCACACGAATGCAGAATGGAGGAAGCCAGAACAGCAAAAATACAATATATACAATGAGTACACCACAGTGTAAATGGAAAGAACCACTACTACTACTACTACTACTAAAAAAGAGGAATGAATGCTGAAAAATTACAAAAATAGCTTGGGGGGCAGCTAGGTGGCGAAATGGATAAAGCACCAGCCCTAGAGGACCTGGGTTCAAATCCAGCCTTGTACACTTAACACTTACTAGTTGTGTGACCTTGGGCAAGTCACCTAACCCTGACTGCCTTGGGGGGGGAAAAAAAACAAGTTTGGCTCCCAAGAAGAGATAGAAGATGGTACCTCCCTCTACTCCTTTATAGAGGCAAGGGGTTCACAGGTGTGGAACTCTGCATATTGGCAGATTTTTTTGGGGGGGTAATGCATTACATTGATTTTCCTGATTTTTTTTTCCTCTCCTTACTCTTTTTTTCCCCACCTTAAAAATATATTCTTTGTTATATGATGACTCTCTGGGACAGAGAAGGACACAGAAAAATGTCGGCAATGTAAAATAAAAGATACCAATAAAATTTATTCTTTAAAAAAAGGTGAATGTTGCAAAATGACAAAGAACAAGGATAGCCACAAAAAAAGAGATGTGAACCCCCTCCTTTGCAGAGGTAATTTCCAGTTCCAGTGGTAAGGAACATTACATACATTGTCATTTTTTTAGTGAATCAATTAGTTTTGCTGAATTTTTCCTCTACTTTCTTGTTTTCTGTAAAAAAAAATTCTTTATTATATGAGATGGTTCTCTGAGAGGGGGAGGAAGAGGGATAGGGAAGAATTTAGGCTCTGTAAAAGACAAAAGATATCAATAATTTAAAAAAACCACAACAATCTTGTGAGGTTGGTGGGAACAGTTATTATTATCTACATTGTATCCAGCCAAAGTGGCCGACTTGACTGAAATGTGACATTTTGGGTCTCCTGTCTCTGCTTTGGCACAGGCTGTCCCTGATAGCCGGCATGCAGGGCTTCCTCGGTTCACGTCTTATACTCCTTAGCTTCCTGGAAGGCTCAGCTTTTAAGGGTCACTTTCTACATGAGTCTCTTCTGGATTCTCCAGCTGTTAGTGCTTTTGCCCTTATTCCACAATACATTATATATATTTTGCATTTTCCCTATCTGTGTATGTATTGTTTCTCTGAATGGAAAGCAAGTTTTGTCCCCTTAACTTGTAGATCCTGGGCGCCTATCAAAAGTGCCTGGCATACAGCAGGTCCTTCATAACTACTTGCTGAGTGACTATTGCCTCTCAGACACTGACCTGGCCGAGGTCAGTCAGTAGCGGATAAGAACAGACTAAAGCCTAGCACGTCTCAAAGCACAGTACAGGGCAGGGGAAGGCAAGGCAGGCAGTGGCCTGGGGCTCACAATATTGGGAGCAGAGTAGGAAACACTTTTTAAATATTAGGAAGAAGGGGAACAGAGAGAAGACATGTGATTTCACCGACAGAGAGAGAACTCCCAGATGAGGGAACTCCCTCTACCAAAGCAGGTTAGCGCCTCAGCTACAACCTAAGAGTCTTACAGAACTACCTAGGAAATGGATCCCCGTGCTGCACATTCACTTAGAAAACCACAAATCAACATTATCTACATTGTGCTCTACTTTTCATTATTTTATTAGATATTTCCCAATTACATTTTAATCTGGTTCAGGCATATGGGAATTTTGCAGGCAGTAAAGGTCTGGGGGCAAGGCCAGCGCTCTATCCACTATTCCAAGATGCCTCTTATAAAGAACACATTTTATAAACACAAGGTTTTAAGTTTTCCATGGCATATGTGAAGCCCCCAGAGTCTCCACTGGCGAGTGTGGCACATAGGTGGGCACACTGTGTAGGGCCATAGAGCCTTACCTGCTGCCCAGCAGAGAAGAATAAAGTTGCCTTGTCCCTTCTCTGCACATCCATCAACCCTAGCAAGCGACGCCTGCTTGGTGAATGTCTACTGATGATGACTGCCAGTCTGGTGTTCTCCCCCAGCTCCCAATGACAGCAAGGGCAACCGAGGTTTAGGCAAGGACTCTTACCATGGGATCCCTGGAGCTGTCTTTGTCTTTTTCTTTAATTATTCTGATAACTCTATTTCAGTATAATTGGTCTCCTTCATAATCCTATATATTTTATTTCATGAATTATTCTGAGAAGGAGTACAAAGGCTTTACCAGATTGCCAAAGGGGCCATGACACAAAAAAGGTTAAGAAGCTCTGGTTTAGGGGGGAGTCCCCAACCCATGGCGAAGGTCTTCCCTACCTCACCTCAAATTCTAGTCCTCTAGACATGCAGCTCTTACTCATCAGAACTGAGCTCATCATCCCCCCACCCCCACCCATCCAAATATCCAATCCTCCCCCCTTCTCCACTCACCTGTTGTTAGTGTTACTGGCATCACTATCTAACTTCAATCACATGACCAGAGACATTCATACTCACCCATACATACCCCTGCACACACACATTCTCCTTAACCCAACTTACCAAGCCAAGAAGCAAAATGAGACAATTCTATAAGCAGTCATAGCTAATGTCTCTTTTTTCTGACACTGACAGCAGACAATTTGTTCCATACAAACTTCCATAGTTTCCTACTCACCATGGCAATGGGGCGGCCAAAATCCAGAATCCAGTTCTGTAATGTCAGGTAGAACCACAGGTCAAGATGGAAAGGAGAGGTTCGAGACCCATCTTCAGCTTTGCCTGTGGGATGCCTGGGGAGAAATGGAAGAGGGGTTATTAAATCATCATCCTTCTCTTTCTTGCCTCCCCTTCCACCTAGCTGACTTTTACAGGCAGCCTAGTATGGTGGACAGAAACCTAAGCCTTGGAGGTAGGGAGACCTGGGCTCAAGCCTTGCCTCTGATACATACCCTCTTAGTGCCCCAAGATAAATCCCTAAGAGTTGCTGAACTACATTGATGAAAGGAATTTACACTCTAGGAGCTCTTCACATCAATGAAATACTAGATCTGGATCCCAACCCCCCTTCATTCTCAAAGGGACAAAAGACACACAAAAAGATATAGGTCTTTTAAATTTGGGTGGGGGGAGATTTTTGCTGTACAACTTAGTAGCACTAACCTGAGAGGAAAAACACTTTAGTTCTAGTCCTGCCACTAATTCACCATATGGTTTTGGGTTTCAAATTTCTCATCTGTCAAAATGGTGATGATAATCTATACCCTCCATGACTCACATCACAGGGCTCATATGAAGATAATGTGAGGATTCTCTTTCTCTCTCTCTCTCTCTCTTTTCTCTTTCTCATACACACACCCCTAAAAATATTCATAGTAGCATGTTTCGTGTAAAACATTGCAAAAAAAAAGCACAGAAAAATTGGTAATAAAGAAGATGACCACAGATTTAGGGAATGGTTCACTAAATCACTATATTCATAAACATTCATATATCCATAAATATAATAGAGCATTAATACACCTTGAGGAATGATGATTGTAAGGATTTCAGAGGAAAATGAGAAGACTTGTATGACGGAAGCAGACTGAAGTAAGCAAGACCAGAAGAACAATATCCACAGTGACTACAATAACGTAAACAAAGCTGAAAATTGAGTAACTGTTATCTTGGCTCTGGAGAAGAGATGAGGAAACACATTCTTCCTTTAGGCAGAGGTAGGCAGGGGGAACTCCATGCATGGGAATGCAGTATGTACTGTCATATTATGTCACTAAATTGGTTGGTTTTGCTTAGTTGTTTGTTTTTCTTTGTTAGAAGGCAGATTTCTTTTGTGTGTGGGAGAGGAGAGGAAGAAGGAGCATAGTCAGAAATGATCATGACATTTCAATAAAATTTATCATAGAAATAAAATAAATTTTGGAGTCTATAGACTGGCTAGTAATTAAAACACTGTTTTAGGATCATAAGATTTTAGATCTAGAAAGGACTTAAACGCCATCTGGTCCACCCCCTCCATTTTAGATAATATGAAGAAAACTGAAGCCCAGAAAAATTAGTCTACCATGACTTGTCCAAGGTCACACAGGTGGTATGGTCCCACTAAGCATGTCTCATCTCTATGCCAGGTATTCCTTGGTAAGATCAGACGTATACAGGATAGATCTATTTGCATCATAACTTAGATGAAACCAATCAAATGGGGAAAGATAAACTTGAACATAAGGAAGCAGAGGATATATGTAACAGGCGGATTTCATGCTGCTGAGTTACCCTCCACCCTCACTCCTTGGCTAAAGCACTGGACCTAGAATTAAGAAAATCTGAGTTCAAATTCTACCTTAGATACTTATTAGCTATGTGATCCTATGAAAGTTATTTAACGGCTATCTGCCTCAGTTTCTTCATCTGTAAAATGGAGATAATTATAGTACTTACCTCATAGGGTTGTTGTAAGGATTCAATAAAGTTCTGTATAAATACTAGCTGCTATTTATTATTATCATTGTTAAATCATCAAATTAGGTATATAAATAACTTTGTAAAGTTTAAGAGTTACATACATGTCAGCTGTTATTTATAAAAATTATATATATATATACATATACACATATACATATATATTTTAATCAGCAAAAAATTCTTCCTATTCTCTCTTTTACTGCTCACTTACCCCAACTCTATTGAGAATTTTTTAAAAATCCCTGCTACAAGAGAAAGAGGGTAAGGAAACAAACTTTTATAACAAATATGCATAGCTAAGAAAACAAATTTCTACATTGGCTACGCCCCAAAAAAACAGGTTTCATTCTGCATTCTTGAGGTCTTCACTTCTCAGTCAGGGGGTGGGCTGCCTGTTTCATCATTAGTCCTCTGAAATAGTGATTAGTCATTACCTTGGTCAGAGTCCCTAATTCTTTCAAAGTTGTTTGTCAACTACTATTAAGAAGCCTTATTGAGTGTTAGCCACAGGCAAAGCCCTGAACTGAGTGTGCTATGAGGAATACAAAGAAATAGGATATATGAGTTTACACCTTAGTTGGGAAGACAAGGCATGTATTTATGGAAAGATAAATATGAAGCAGTATAATGTTCAAAATGAAAAGACCTAAGAAATCACTGAATCACAGACTGTCACAGTTAGAAGACCTGAAAGGTCATCTGGTTCAACTCACGCCTGAAAAAGAATCTTGTCATAGCCAACACTGAAGACCTCTCTAAAAGGGAAACCCAGGCTCTTTGGGGAAAGCTCATTCTACTCTGGCACAGCTCTGGAACAATTAGGTTATTTTCTCCAACATTAAGCAAACCCAAACATCTTGATACTCAATCCAGCATTACTTTCCCTTTACCAAGATGCTGAAATTGAGAGGCAATGTGATATAGTGGAAAGAGCCTGGCTCTGGAGGCAGAAGACCTCACTTAAAAACCTGATTCCCTAAACCTTGTATTCATTACTCCTAGTTCTTTTATGTGTTGTCTCTCAGTTAAGAGTATTAATTAGTTTCTTGTGAGCAAGGACTGTCTTGATTTTTGATGTGTGTTCCCAGTGATTATGCATAGTACATGCTTAATAAATGCTTTTTCAGTCATTCATTTATCCAAATAATTTATAAATATCCCCGCAACCTGAGAAGTTCAATGGAAAAAACCATGGCTAAGCCTGGATCCACAAGATACTCTAATCAAGTTCTCCTTCCAAGTTGACATGGAATCCTTAAAGACTAATCTTTAGAAATAGCCCTTCAGCCCACTCCCAATCCACCTACCTGATACCTAATGAACTCCTTACTACCTAACTACTGTCTTGCCCACCTTTCCATCTTTTCCATAAGGAGCATGAGAGATTTTGACAAATGTTTTGCTAAAATCTAGGTAATTATATCTACAGCATCCCCTGATATGTTTTAGCATCCATGTCCAAAAAAAGAAAAAAGAAATTAGGTTAATCTGGAATTATCTGTTCTTAAGAAATCATTCTGGTTCTTGGGGATCGCATCGTCCTTTTCTAGAAGTTCATTAACTATCACTTTAATAATATGTTCTAGAATCTGGAATTTTGCCAGGAAGAGAAATGGAGCTTACTAGCCTGAAGTTTGCATTCTCCATTCTCTTCCCTTTTTGAAAACTGGGACGTATCTACTTCCCCAATTGTATAGGTTCTCTCCTATTCTCAATCACATCTGCCCATTCTTTTGGCACCCTGGGATATAGTTCATCTAGCCTGGTGACTTAAATTCATTAAGGGTGCCTAAGTGTTCTCTTATTAGCCCCCTAATTAGCCTTCTTCATTTTCTCCATTTGCCTTTTATTCTGTTATTTACAAAATCAAGACAATTTTCCTTGGCAATCAAACAAAAAAACAAAAGCAAAATAATGTGTTTGGGAGTTCTTTATCATCCATCCCATCCATCCCAAGTACTGAACTTACACCAATCTCTTTGTTGGTCCTTTTCTTATCCCCAATACACAAGAACAAATTTTAGTTCATCTAATCCAGCCTCTTCATTTTGGAAAGGTAGTATGATTGGGTGGAAGAAGAGCTAGACTTGCAATCCAGAGAGACATAGGTTCAAATCCCACCTCTGACAATTTGACTATGGGCAAGTCATTTAACCTCTCTTAGGTTGTTTGATCTGTAAAATAGGAATAACTAGAGTACCTAGTTTCAAGGGATGCAGTAATGATAAAAGGTGATACAGTATGTAAAATATTTTTCACTAACCTTAAAGACTCTGTTAGCTATTACTATTTTCTTTTCTTTTTTTACATTCATATTTAGGATAGTTTCCCATTGGTCATGACATAAAAAACAATTAGAACTAATGAGAGGAACCATGAGAATGAAGAAATAAAACAAAACAACAAAGGAAAAGGAGAGTAAATAGTATGGTTCCATCTGTATTCAGACTTTGAAGTTCTTTCTCTGGATGTGGATAGCAATTTCCACTGTAAGTCTTTTGGAGTTGTCTTAGATTCTTGCATTGCTGTAAAGAGCCAAGTCTATCAAAGTCAGTCATTGCTATTACTGTGTACAATGTTCTCCTGGTTCTGCTCATTTCACTCTGCATCAATGCATGTAAGTCTTTCCAGGCTTTTTTTTTTTTAAGTTCACCTGTTCATCATTTCTTACAGCACAACAATATTCTACTACATTCATATATTACAACTTGTTCAGCCACTCCCCAACTGATAGGCATCCCCTTAATTTCCAATTTTTTGCCACCACAAAAAGAGCTGCTATAAATGTTTCTGTACATGTGGGTCCTTTTCCCGTTTTTATAATCTCTTTAGGACACAGACCTAGAAGTGGTATTGCTGAGTCAAAGGGTATGCACAGTTTTATAGCCCTTTGGGCATAGTTCCAAATTGCTGTCCAGAATGACTGGATCATTTCACAACTCCATCAACAATGCATTAGTGTTCCAATTTTCCCACATCTTCTCCAACATTTATCATTTTCCTGTTTTGTCATGTTAGCCAATCTGATAGGTGTGATGTGGTACCTCAGAGTTGTTTTGATTTGCATTTTTAATCAATAGTGATTTAGAATATTTTTTCATATGACTATAGATAGCTTTAGTTTCTTCCTCTGAAAACTGCCTGTTCATATCCTTTGACCATTTACCAACTGGGGAATGACTTGTATTCTTATAAATTTGACTCAGTTGTTAGAAATGAGGCCTTCATCAGAGACACTGGTTATAAAAATTATTTCCCAGTTTTCTGCTTCCCTCCTAATCTTGGATACTTTGGCTTTGTTTGTGCAAAATCTTTTCAATTTAATGTAATA